ATACCTTGGAGGTTAGATGCTAAATCTTGGATATCAGATTTTGGCCGTCTTAAGAACATTTCTAGTTTTCTTTACTCATTTGATCTGAATGATAATGAAGAGTTATTAAGTAGATTACAACAAGGAAAACAACGTGAGAAACAACAAGGGAGGTTCGGAATAAATCATGGACTTCGCGGAATGAGTCATGGACTTTACGGTCCAACTTATGGATCTGGACCTGATCTAATAATTTTCTTAGGAGGAACAGGTAATTATGGCCGTTGTCATAAAACAGATTCATACGAATATGGTTTGCTTGGAGGCGAGAATGAAAGGATTAGATTTGAATTTGATGAAATTGAAATATTTCAAATCATTAACTGATAGCAATTATATAGACCTATGAGAAATTTTTATCTGCAAACCCCTATTACCACCTGTAACTTTTGCAGGTGATTACAGGTGACTACATACTTTTAGCATTTTCTAGATTTTTTCAATAATCAAAATCCCTCTTGAAAATCGAAAATTAGCATTAGAAAGTGGTGGTCTACCAAAAAAAAACTTTTTATGTATGTAAAACTTGTAACTACCATAATTTGTAACGAATTATAAAATACATTCACCCGAAAATATTATAAGAATTTTTTTGAAACATTACTCCTTAGTGCACAAATACCGTACAGCATTGTATAGAATACCCGGGTCTAAATCAATTTAATCACGATAAACACCGGGGGATACTGATGTATGGTGGCGGGTATACAAAAAAGGGGGTACACAACGGGGCTAATAATAGAAAATTCATATGATTAATTGCAGCGCCTAATAATTTATTTTTTATATATCAAAAAAATATTTTTTTGATATCTCAATATTTTTCAAAGAATATGGGCCGAATAAAAAAGTTCTTCAAGCCTGAGTTACCCAAAAAGAAACGCCATTGAAACGCACGCGAAAAACTGGCCATTTTAACCTTTCTCGAAAAGCAAGCAGTACAAGTATTCGCAGTACAGCAGCTATATTTAATATTGAACCCAAACAAATCCGTGACTGGCGCCAAAAAAACAAGAACTTTTACAAGCCTCGCCATATACCAAATGGCTAAATATCGGTCGACCAGCAAAATATCCTTTATTAGAAAATAAACTAAGCGAGTGGGTCAGACAACTCAGACAAGAACAAAAACCAGTATCCCGACATTTGATCTAGATCTATGCGCAAAAGTTAGCAAAAAAATCTGAATATATGAATGTCTATCCAGACATTAAATCTATATTTTCACAAAAATGGATTGATGGATTTATGAACCAACCACAATTTTAGTTTTCGATGCTGCATTACAATTGCACAGCATTTACCTGAAGATCTTGTTACAAACAGCAAGACTTTCTCAGCTTTGTTCTTCACAAAAGAATGTTATATGATTTTCCTCTCAATTTAATCAGAAATATAGATGAAACTCCTTTATCCTTTGACTTGCCATCCAATAGTACCATTGATGAGACAGGTACACACACTATATCAATTCGAACATGTGGTCATGAAAGATCATATTTTACAGTTATATTGACATGTATGGCAGATGGAACCAAATTACCTCCAATGATAATTTTTAAATTATCTAAAGTACCACGGCAAGAATTTACATCAGATGATATTGTAAGAGCAAATCCTATGGGTTGGATGAATGAAGAAAAAATGATTTTTTGGATTGAAAAAATATAGAATCAACGTTCAAAATTTTCAGTAGATCCTCATTCTCTTTTGATTTTGGATTCCTTTTCAGCTCATATTATAGATCCAGTTCTTCATCAGTTTAAAGAAAAAAAATACAACTCCTACTGAAATTCCGGGTGGATTAACTTCAAGACTTCAACCTTTGGATGTTTCTATAAAAAATCATTTAAAACAAAGGTATTTATTTATAAATTATATATTTTGTAATATTGTACTAAATCTATTTAAACTTATCTATAGGTTCATCACTATTATACTGAATGAATGTCTAATAGTATCAAAAATTATATCAAGTCTGGTCGAATTCAACATCCAGCTTACAATTTTAATTGCTTAATGATTTCTGATGCTTGGAAACGAATTGATCCCACACTTATTAAAAAATCCTTCAAAATTTGTGGCATTTCAAATTTTCAAGATGAAATAGAAGATTGATTTTTGACTATGAACAAGTTGGATTATGAATGCAAGAATCTTCTAATACCACTATTGAATTTAATAATGGTTGAAGGGTCTAGCAGAGGTGGGGAACGTTGTATTGATCCATTTTTATTGAATTTAGAAGAAAATATTAATGTAAACCAAGAAAATGATTATTATGAAGCAAATCAACTCAATTATTTAAATGATTAGATACATCACTAGGTTTTGTTTATTAGTATTATTCATAATGTTATATTCAATAAAGTTCAATTTATAATATAGACCCGAAACTTAATCAAATTTTTGAGGCAATAGTTTTGATATGTACCCGGATATAGCATTAGGGGGATATCTTATTTGGAGGGTATCCTATATAGTGCTATACGATACAATATATTAATTTTTGTTAAACATATGAATAATTTATTAATTTGTTTTTATTAAATCTTTCCCATCTCCATCTCTAATTCATAATACACTTTAATTGTTTTTTGTTTTTGGTTGTTCTAGTATTTAATAGTCAAAGTATTCGACGTACATACAATCTCTTATGAGGAGGTCAATAAATTCGAAAAGTGTCTCAGCAGTCTGTTGGTTTTTTTCTGGAATAGAATTTAACATTTTCGATCATAATGTTGCATTATTTGTGAATAGTAATGTAAGTCATACTCCCTTGTAGATGTTATTATCTGCAGCATTATTGTATTGCATTTCAATTTAGCACTTCTGATTAGAGATTTTGTTGGAATGATAATCTATTATGACCTGACTGAAAATCAGGTATAGATTAAAATCATTTGATTAAAAAATCGATGAGTGAAGGGGGGAGAATAAGCTTCTAAAGAAACGATTTATGTCTTTCCCTAAGTCTAAACTAGCAATTTGAAGAAAGTTCAATGACATCAATATATTTACAGGATGGAAGTCTTGTTGCACAATTTTTCTTCTAATAGTTCACGATTTGCGAATTATGTCAATGGGACAAGATTACCTTATAAATTGTCTTAAATCTTCTTTTACAAGATATTCAATAAATATTTAAAAGAAATCCATTCAAATAGTATCCAACTTCCCTCTTTTCCCCCTTTTGCTTACCCCAAATAATCACGAAACTCTTCTAACTTCCACGCCCAAACCTCCTAATAAATCGCCTTCCTCCCACTTAAGTCGCATACATAAAATGATATTCATAGATATCGGCACAGGAATTAGAAATAAACGGTACAATCAGTCTTCTCCAACTTTAATCACAGACCAAAAACCTGTTAATTCGTTTGCATATTTATTAGCATCAATATACAATGAGCATGTCTATTTCTTAAATTGTGTATGTGTTCACACCACAATATAAAAGCATGTACAGATGTATACATATGCTATGTGTTATGAATTTAAATCACGTAGGTTAAAAAAAAGATCATCGTGTAAAGATTTTTAATACACGAATTCGCTTTAGCTTAATAAGAAATAAATATCAAAAGCACATTAAAATTTTATTCCCTTCACGAAACCGGATGATCACTGTAAAGCCGCATTTAAAAATTTATGTACTGTATGTTTTTCTTTAAAAATCCTTTTCTTCATAGATTCTAATATAATTTTTTATAATAAAAATAATCGTATTCAATTAAACAAATTTTAACTGTGCTTATCCAGCGCAAAGAAATGTTGACTTCCTCTAGCCAGAAATACATGAATTATATCTCATGTAGTTTGAATAGATTTTTGGCATTTGAACAAATATTTGGATAAATTTGGGCCGAATCGCTGAATTAAATTTTAAATAGTTAACCATAAAAAATCATGTAATTGGGAAATCTAAAAATATTAGACTAATAATTTATAAAGTCTATTTAAAAAATTTGCTTTTTCTATTATCGTTCGTAATTTGGTATACACAAATTCGCCTCCTTTAAAAAATAGGTATGCAAGTTACAATCCTATAAGCTAGTGTTCAATTTATAATAAACAAGAGACATTATGTATTTCCACTCGTAGAAATGAATTCATAATTTCAAGTTTATTACATTTTATCTTGATTTCATGCACCCCTCTAAATGCATATCTTTAAGATCAATCTATAGTATACATTTAGAGATTAAGTCAAAACTGGCCAAAAGTATGCATTTGAAGGAATACTGCTAACTTTTAATAATATTATAAATATAAATCAAGTTTTAACTAAATGAGAAAAATTGACATTTAATTTTTAAGATAAAAAATAGCCGAGAATATTAATTAAATTCGATTACAAATAGATAACTATTTTCTATTAAGACAAGATCATTTGAGAATGAGATAAATAAAATACTAAAAATGATAATCTCTTGTTTTATGTTCACTTTAATCTCGGAACTATTCTTTTAGTAATTAAAGAGTCAGTAAAAACCAAACAAATCGGTAAAATCATGATTTTGCGATAATTAGTATTTTATATCAATATATAAAAGAAATATTCATAAAATGATCAGTTTTATTGTTTTGTTATAAAAAATTAATCTTGAAAAAAATTGATTTTGCTTAATATATTAAGAAAGGTCTAATCTATTATATCAATAAAGATTTTCACAATAGATTACCAAATTTTTTTTGGTCTACTTTATAAATTTAACCCCGAAAACAAGCTACCCCTTTTTTTTAAGCTGAACTTTTTGCAAAAAAGGATAAGCATTTTTAAGATAGATCGATATGCAAGAATAATTGAATACTGGCATTATGAAAATTGGCATTTTGTCTATTGCATAAAACTTTAAATTAGTCGGGGTTGAGAAAATCTCATAATTAAAATTTTTCATTAAAGAAATATATTAATGAAATTACCTAAACAAAGGAACAAAGCTGATAAACTAAACTAATGAACAGTCTAATAGTATACAATAAAATTAAGTTAATTATTAAGGAAACAATGATATTATTTTCATATTGATACACTTCAAAATATTATTAATTATTTAAAACATATTTCTAATTTAAACTACGATGAGATTGCCGGAATAGGTAAATTTAACTTTATTGTTATTATATTCAAGGTTACAATAGGTCGATAAATATTTCAAGAAGGACTTATTCTATAATATTCATGGATTAAATTTTGAATTTACTTTTTAGTCGAGAAGTTTATAAAATTAAATCTATTAATGAGTTTAGAAGTTATGTAACTATCAAAATATTTGGATATTACACCAGTAATCTATTATGAGTTTTTTTATGAAATTAAATAT